ATGTTCTCCATATCTTCACCATCATTTTTGTTGATCACGTGTGTCACCAACATGTTAGCATTAGCATATTGTCCTGTCATATTATTTGTTGTAGTTAATTGTTGGCAGGTGTTGCATTCTTCAATGTTCACATCAGTGTATTGGAGATGCGATTCATCTTCCGTTCTAGTTACTGAAGAAAGGTCGATGTTTTCTTTTGGGGTTTTCAGTGGTTCGCTACGTTTGCAACAAAATTGACGAAATATACAAAGTATCAAAACAATAGTTGAAATTCCAACCACCAAACCAATAATGAATGATACAATGTATCCCGTGTTGAGTACATTGTTAGATCTAATATTGTTCGTGGTCTCTGGCAAGTATATCTTGGTGGAAATCGTTTCATTGTATTCCATGTGTGTTCTGGTCATTTCAGTATACGGAGAAATGGAGAACGTTTTAGCAAAGGGTGTCGTTGTCTGTGGCGGAGTACGTATTTCAAGAAATCGTACTGCTGTGGCAACACCTTTCCAATTTTCTGCAATACACACAAACATCCCAGCTTGCTCATTCTGTGTAGAGGAGATAAAAAGACTGCCATCTGGTTCAAGACGATATCGAGAGTTACTCTCCGAGTCAGAGTCAATACGAATACCTTTAGGCGTGATCCACTGAATATGAGGAGGTGGGGCAACATTCACATTAACTCTCAATGTCACGGAATCATTTACTCCAACATACACCGATTCGAATGTGTTAGTGAAATTTGGTTTGAAACACTGAAGATCAGACACTGTTAAATCTGTGATGCTCGTTCCTGTATACTTGATTGGATACTGACAGTTTCCATATATGTGAATGTTTATACTCTTTGACCATTTCATGAATTCTTCCATGTGACAATCACATGACAAGGGGTTGCCTGAAAGTCGTAATATTTCTAACTGTGTTAGATTTTGAAAACTTGGTAAATGGTGTAGTTCGTTGTTATCAATAAACAGGAAACGGATATTTGATAAAATCATAATACTGTCAGGTAAATGTGAGAATTTGTTGTTTCTGATGGACATATACCATAGATCTGATGGTAGCTCTGATAGATGTGTAAGGTTGTTGAAATCCATGTACATTAACTGTAAATTGGGGAAATATTTAATTTGTCGAGAAA